CACACACAGATTCACACTGCTAGTTCTATATGGTGATCTACACATACATGTATATACACATATATAGTACATGATACATGAGGGCATACAGTACATATATCCTCATATTAATGAGGATCAGTAGATGCTCTTTGGGCTTGTTTTTATCTTATTGTGAAAGAGTTGAGATCATTATTGTCGCTATAGATCTCATTGGATGATGCATTCATTAAGCCTACTGCCAGCAGCTCATTTAAAGACATATCATCTGATTGATTATATTATAGTAACGTGATATGTTGCAGCAAAGTGCTGTCCCATTCCTATTTCCACCATCTCAAGCCCTCCCAGCCTCTCACACTCACCCACTCACCAGGTGACGTCAGTAAGTCCTTGAGGGTTCAGGGTTTGAGGCTGTAGGGGGGACATTGGGATTTGGCCGTATTTGTCATTTCCTCAATTCCGGTTGAACCGGTTTCAACCAAAAGCGACCCGCGCTTGAACCGGAAGTTGAAACCGGAAGCGGCTATTTACTGCTTTTTTTCATGTTGGAATAAATGTTAACTATTTAACTTCAAAGTATTAATACGTGTTTGGTACCTTAATGTTTTTGCATGAAATCATTCTGGGATGTTTGCTGAAGCACAGCCCTACAGAGAAGATGCTCCACCAGCTCCTCTCGGTCTCTGCTGCTCATTGACATCAAACCCTCATTAAATGTTTTAAGACGTCACATGTTCACTGTCTGTCTGTGAGGTCACTGAGAAGACAAACACTCAAAAGTCAGAGACGTTCTTTATAAAATGTATACAGATAAGAGTAAAAGTGTTAGTATAATCAATAAAAACATACTTTAAGTTATATTCTACAGTATGTAGTGACAGTGATGACTTCACTTTATTAGAAACTTTAACTTCAGATGTCAGATTGTTACTTTATTTGACTGTTACTACTTATGTTGTATTTAATATTTTAAAATGTTAAGTTCTGTTTCCTACCCCATTACTTTATACTTCAGAGTATGTATGTACTTGTTACTGCACTATATTGCTTTTAAGTCTCGTGTTGGTTCTTAATGAATAAGAGACAAAAGCAACATATGATATTACAGAATATGAGGGTATAAAGGAGTTAACGTGCAGCATAGACATTAATGCAGCAGCAATATTAATCCAGAAACATTTTACTGATCAATCAATACTTTTATCTGAACTATATCTGAACATTACGTTACAGTCACTTAGCAGACGCTTTTATCCAAAGCGACTTACAATTCATATCATATTCTATCACACCGTAGGCACAGCTACGAGAGCAATTGTTGGGGTTTAGTGTCTTGCTCAAGGACACATCAACATGTGACTAGCGGAGCCGGAGCTGGGGATCGAACCGGAGGACGGCCCTGCTATCCACTTAGCCACGGTCGCCCTGTACTATATCAAGTAATTTCACTGCAGTAGAGGCTCTGGATACTTCTATGTTGAAACAAACTCCAGCAGGTGGCAGTAGATAAAAAATAAGATTTCTTATTTTATTTTTGTTATACTAAACTGTAAGTACTAGACATCCTGATCCAGTTGGTGGCGGTAATGCACCAATTTATGTTTGCCAACTGCCAATAAACATCAAAGAAGAAGAAGAGAAGAAGAAGAAGAAGAAGAAGAAGAAGAAGAAGAAGAAGAAGATCCCCTGTTTCCTGTTTCCGGTTTCCAACATTCTAGATCTAAGATGGCGGACCGGCGGCGAAGGAGGAGGCGCGCGTCTCAGGACAGCGAGGACGAGTCCGGTTCTGGTTCTGGTTCTGGTTCTGGTTCTGACAGCGGGAGGTCCGGGTCTCCGACCACCAAGAGCCGCGTGAAGGACCCACCCGACCCACCGGAAGTAACGGCGACCCGGGTCGAGCCGAAAGTCTCCGCGGAGTCCGAGTGTGTGAGTAGCTAGCTTAGTGTTAGCTTGAAGGAAACCACAAGTTAGCTGCTTTAACGTCAATGCTGTTTAACATGGAGAGTTTTTAGGTTTGGATTGTAATACTGTGGTACGTTGAAGGAGCTGTTTTTATTGTAAACAGTCCTGGTAGTTGACTGTGTTGTCGTGGAACGGGAGACGAAAAGGCGCCACTTGGAACGCGTTTACACGGATGCACATTTCACCATAACACCGGTACCGCGACTCTCTGGGGGGTTCCTACTAAATATGAGAAGCTCCAGATTGTCATGTTAGCGTAGCTTAAAAAGACAGTTTCCACCCAGGTGTTGGCGGGAGTTGGGGTTTTCTGTTTAGCACCCGGCTAGGCCTAATGCTAATGCTAACTTAGAACTGATGTTTGTTACTGAGAAGCAGTGATAAAGTATTTAGATGCTTTACTATGTGTACTAATACCTCACAGTAATGATACTATGTTACAGTAAAAGTACTACACAGTAAACGCATGTCAGTTTAGATTATTTTATCTGATGATCCATTTATTGTTTGGTTTGTTTAAATAGTGAGAAATGCCCCAAAGTGACGCCGTCACAATGTCCGTTTAATCTTCAACGTTACTTCTAATAAATTAACATTACTTGTGGAACCAGCAAATATTTTTACAGGATAAATGACTTCAATAATTACAATGTGTTAATGTAAATATAAGTATTTAAACATTACTTCATAGGCTTGTTATGAATTAGCTGTCGTAATGCAGAGTGTTTTAGGTGTTTTATGAGGACCACCATGTAGGTTATTACTTACACAGACGGGTGGTTTGAATGCTTCTTTGTCAGTATTTTTCACTTTTCTGTATTTGTATTCTCACACTCAAACTGAACATTGCTACTCGTCACTGTACAGTTCACAGCCCCTCTCATTTAAATGTGAGCCTCGATATCGTCCACATTGTTTGAGGGACTCTGGTGATTCTGAAGTTCTCTCTCATTCATTTGAGGCTACATGTACAGTACTACGTTTACGCTCTAAAACATCTTTTGTTACAGAGACACAGACAGACAGAGACAGACATTACATTACAGTCATTTAGCGTTTATCCAAAGCGACTTACAATTCAGATTCTATCACATTCACACACGTAGGCTACGGGAGACATTTTTGTGGTTGAGTGTCTTCCTCAAGGCCACATCGACTAGCGGAGCCGGGATCGAACCGCCGACCCTCTGATTGAAGGACGGCCCTGCTCTCCACTTAGTCACACACTCACACACAGAGAGAGAGAGAGTACTAAAATACTCGTATTTTCTGTAACTAAGCAACCGATCTACTTCCTGTTTACACATCACCCTCAGACCAGTGAATCTGAACCGTGATGTTTGGTCAGTGTGGATGAAGCTTCTTAGCATGTTGGCGTCTCCCACTGAGATGCTATTAAAGTGTTGTTGTTCTTCCTGCTGACGTTTGTTTGTGTCTCTGCAGGAGAGTGAAGATGGTGTCGGAGAAGGTAAAGACATGAAACCAGCAACACGCCAGTAACATACAACATGCCAACACCACGCCAGTAACATGCAACACCACGCCAGTAACATACAACATGCAACACCACGCCAGTAACATACAACATGCAACACCACGCCAGTAACATACAACATGCAACACCACGCCAGTAACATGCAACACCACGCCAGTAACATAAAACATGCCAACAACACGCCAGTAACATGCAGCAACACGCCAGTAACATGCAGCAACACGCCAGTAACATGCAGCAACACGCCAGCAACATGCAGCAACACGCCAGCAACATGCAGCAACACGCCAGCAACACGCCAGTAACATACAACACACCAGTATATTTACCAGCAACACAGAGCTTGTTGGTTTTACTGGTGCAGTAATTTAAACAAAGTAACTTAAATCAACTCGTCTCTGTCTGTCTGTCTCGATCTCTGCCTGTCTTGTCTTCGGCCAGCTGTCCTCTCTGACTACGACAGCGCTGATCCAGAAGAAAACGGATCACATTCAGAGGTAAACACACATCAGCTGTGTGAGGATGAGGAGGATGGTGAAGATGCTCTGTTAATACGTTGTTTTACACGGTTCACACATTAGTGTTTACATGATTTATTTTTTATTTATTCATTATTATTATTATTATATAACTATATTTATATATAAATATCCTCATTAACATTGTGATACGTTTTTAAGTGTTATATTTATTTCAGTCTGTTAGAATTAACCCACTAAATAATAATATAAACTAGAAAATTCCTAAAGAAATTGACAGTGTGGCTTCTGCTGCCCGAAGAAATCGCAATATATACACACGCCAATGTTACCGGTAGTGTCATTCAGGTTCAATTGAGATAACGCTACTCTCTTTTCTGCATTTTAGATTCATACTCTTGGATTGAATCTTGTATTTGTGGGGCTTTTATTTTGAAAGGGTGGGACTGGGTGGGTGAGAGAGGGGGAGAGGAGACAGAATCATAATGTTTGACACTAAAATGAGAGGCTTCATCACAAGCATTCCAGTTAAAATTCATTCTGTGGGGCTTTTAATTTGAAATGGGGGGGGAAGTCCTCTTAAAATTTCTAAGACCTGAATGACTGTATGATAGAGAGACACAGAGAGGGAGAGAGAGGAGAGATAGACTGAGTGAGACAGGCAGACACAGTTAGATGGACTGAGTGGGTGAGAGAGTGAGACAGGCAGACAGGAGTCCTCTAAAAGTCTCCAAGACCTGAATGACTGTATGAGAGAGAGACACACACAGAGAGAGAGAGAGACACACACACACACACACACAGAGAGAGAGAGAGAGACACACACACAGAGAGAGAGAGAGAGAGAGACACACACACAGAGAGAGAGACAGACAGACAGAGAGAGAGAGAGGAGTGTGTGTGCGCGTGTGTGTCTCAGTGCCTCTGTGTGTTTATCAACATCACTAATGAGCTCATATAAACACCTGTGTGCTTGGGTGCATGTTGGTGATTGGAGCACCTGTGTGTTAGAGGCTAACTAAGAGAGAGAGTGAACAGTGGTTTCCAACAAAACTACCTGTCAAACATATGCCCTCTATACCAAAACCATGAGACTAATCAATAAAATATGGATACCGTGAGAGAGATAAGACTCTGGCAAACGTTTGTGGTGTTAAAATGTGAGCTCAAGCACAATATGCAAAACTGGTACCGTCTGCTGTCTTTGAGAAATGAGTGGTCAGATTTAACATGGAGTCTAATGGAGCAGTTGGTTGGAGTTCATGTCGCTCTGCGGCTCTTTGAGCCAAATGTGTAAGTCCGTTGGATTCCATAGATACTTTACTGCGACCAGCACAACATTTCCAAGCTTTTGGGCCAAAATGGTGTATAAAGAGTAAACATTGTGGGAGCTGGAGCAATTTGTTTGGAAAAATCACAGAATATTTTCCTGCTCCGCTCCACTCTGACAGTTATGCTCTCACTCTAGCTCTTAACGAGCCGTGCAATACACACCCGTTATAAAATCTGAAACGGACCCAAAATGTTCCTGAAACTTAATCTGTGACTTCATGAAAACTGTGCTAGCTATCAAAATGTCCCTTTGGCTCAATAAAGTGCAGCGTTTTGTCTACGTTTTAAACTTTGAATCATGTTTCTACGTTAATGTACGGCTAGTCAATATGGGCCCAAAGTTAAGTGTTTTTTTGTTTTTTTTTGCTCTCTTCACGCCGAATGAACGCTAATTTGTGGCAGAGGCAGGGGTTTTGTTCAAAATCACTGATTACTGCAACATTTCTTAATCAGTCTGCCTCTAACACCAGGTGCGTCCTCACCATGGCAACCAGTTACACGCACGCACACAGGCTCTCGCTCTCTGTCTGCCTGTCTCTCTCTCCCACTCACTCAGTCCATCTAACTGTCTGTCTGTCTGTCTGTGTCTCTCTCCCACTCACTCAGTCCATCTAACTGTCTGTCTGCCTGTCTCTCTCTCCCACTCACTCAGTCCATCTAACTCTGTCTGCCTGTCTCTCTCTCCCACTCACTCAGTCCATCTAACTGTCTGTCTCACTCTCCCACTCACTCAGTCCATCTGTCTGTCTGCCTGTCTCTCCTCTCT